AATGGCGCTTTTCTTGTGCCTCATTTGGAACAAAGGATTGAAATTGTTCAGAAAAGAATAGGAACTTCATCCTAATGAGCATTTAACTCGTTATCTGTTAAAATTTGGTAACTCAAATTGGAAGTTCAAAACTTCACTAGAGATATTGGATTCTTGATGATATCTCATTCTTATTTGCAGGTCAATGAAAACACACAACTCGTCCAACCAGTGCCAGCAGCACAGGTAACAACATGGCATTCGTATTATCGTTAAATCGTTTACATTTTAATCGAAGCAAACTTGACCTTACGTTAATTTATTGCAACAATGTATTGGATAATTATTGATTTTGCAAATTGAATATTTGCGCAAAATTGCATAACACAGCTTTCGACTAAACCAGTTTCCAATTTTGCAACTAACATCTAACTTAATCCTATTTATTTGACTATTCTCACTTATTTGCGCTTTAATTCACAAACACCTCTGCATTATTGTTTAAGATAGTCTGAATAAATATTGATAAGCAAAAGATTTACTTGAGTACATATAAATTTGAATGAGTTGAGTGAATTCGAATATTCAAAGAAATAATTCACAATATAGCGATTACTTAATAGATTTTCATAGTTTAGCGTTTCATACGATACCACCAAATAAGGAAACAGGTAAATCTACGAGTGTTTTTAGTGCTTCAACTAGTTAAACGCTAGATTCTATTCATAGATTTTCTCCTTGTGTTGTTCCTTATGTTTCCCTAATATCTCCTAATCCTCCTTCTCCTTAAAGCAATCGTTACAGGCAGCCTTAAATGAGGGACGAATCGAGAAAGTGTCAAGTTCGACACCTAATCGGGTAACATTATGGTTCAAAGAGCAATATGACACCAGCGGTTAGTGTTTTATAAATTTTTTCTAGAGAATTCTAATTTTTATAGGCAATCTGAGTTAAGTAACTTAATGTCTGACTTGCCACTTACTAATGTGCTGCAATTTTCCTTTGACAAATTGCAAACTACATGCAATTAGGTAGGGACACGTTTGAGACTTAATGGGATTCATAAGGCGATAGGTGCTGGATTGCGCTAGCATCCGTTATTGAGGCGATATGTTTGGGATTACAGTTGAGAGGGCTAGTTCTTAGAGAAGCCTTGAGACCTTAATTAAACTTAATTGCTTTCGAATTGAATATGAAAAAATTGGCAGTTTAGAAACGTACATTAGCCTACAAAGCACAGTTTAACGCCTAGAAGGCCTCAATTTAGACAGGCAGATAAGTACAATGAGTATAGAATAAAATATGTAGTATTATGCATATAAATGAGGAAAAAAATGTCTTTTGATTCTCGACGACATCTTAAAATATAAATGAATTTCAAGAAAATTCTTTTAAAAATTCCTACAGCTTTATTTTTCGGTGTTATAATTATTCTGTTGCTGCTGTTTTTCTCCTTTTTCTCCTTCATTCACTTTCCAGGCGTATCAAACTATCAGTTTCTGAATAACGAGTTTCACTACCAGCATCCTTAATGAACATGTCTCTGATTCTAACAAAAATCATTCTTTTCAGAAATTTTACATTTCCTTTTACTAGTAAATTCAACTTTTACTCCAAATTTCAAGGAAAAGTTAAATTTACTGGTAAAAGGTCTAGAAGTTTTACAAGGGAAAACCGTATTGGTTTTTTATCATCCCACTCCTAAACTGTGGTTTCGATCACGTCATGTATTCTGACGAAGCTTCTTTGAGGGGTTATCGAAATAAGACTTACTGCTCACCCACCCACTTGTCGCTTCTAAGTCTTCGAAAAAATTTTGAAGGCAGACCACATTTTATTAAGGAGGAG